GAGAGCGAACTCTCCCCACTCTCGGCCGTACCAGGGCATTTGGGGGCAAAGAAGTATAGTTGGTTAAGTATTACTCAGTATGATAATTCCTTCATATCTCATTAGGTTTATTTCGTTCATTTAAATTTAAATGAAGGTTCTTCTTGAATTCTACAACGAAAATATCTCTAGTCCCTGGATAAATTAGTTTCTTTTCTTTTAATTTTCTATAACTATTGTATCAATTATTTCTTGATAATTCAATTTGTCGATTCAATAAGAATTGAATGTTAAATTCAACAAATAAGTCCATTTAAACAAACAAGAAAAATGAAATAAATAAAACTTTGTAATGTACATTTTATCATAGTAAAATATATTAGAATGCAGTGGTTAAATGAATTAAATACTTTAACTTTAAAGAAGGAACAAATCGATCGAATAAATTCCTGTTCATTTAGTCCGTCATTATTAACCCTACACTAATACATATCTATATCCATATGATTTATAATAATGAATTAATACTCATCGAGTGGATACGTTACATAATAATTACGTAATGACATTTCTAACATAAATTGAAAGAAAGAGGATTATTCATAATCAAAGTAATCATGGGAAAATCAAACAGTTGCTACGTTGAATAAGAGAAGGAACTAACAAAATATTTTGATGAATGGTCAGTAGTATAGTCGTTATGTAAGAATCAAGAGACGAATGTTGCGAATGTATAAAACACAAAAAATAATAGAAGATACACGAAAATAGTTTACCAAAGTTCTGCTACAAACTTCCATATACCGATGGCCGAAATAACGAGAGTGGTTGTACAAACTTCTTTTGGATGCAAAGGTTAGGTTTGTAAACATGACTTTAGCAATGTGCAAAAGACGAACTCGTAAACCATGTGGCAAATTTGATGGAATACAATGGATAACCTTAAAAACTTTATTCAGTTCAACTTAATGAACTGTGTCCATCAACTGACCAAGAATAGAACTCTTAATCACTCTTATCTGTCGTTTGCTCAACCACGACAGATGATGTTCTGTTATTATATAAGGACGAAGTTGACGAATTGTCTATATTATGCAACATAGCAACTACTTGACTTCATTTCACTATTGTAAATCATATAGACATAGATATGTATTAGTGTAAAGTTAATGATGAAGAACTAATTGAACAGGAATTTCTTCACTCGATTCATTCCATCTTTATTATTTTGTATCAATAAAGTGGAAATTTTCACTTTCGCTTTAGTGTTATTCTCTTAAATATGAATTTAATGAATTGAACTTTAAATACTTCTATATTCCTTGGATATTTCTATGATATAAATTCAATAAGTCACCATTTTGAATAGACCACTTTGAAAATATCAACAACAAAAATGAATGAAGAACTAATGTACTTTTCATTTATTTTATTATATAGAAGGTCTAAAGATACTTTTATTTGAGTCTATCAACAGAAATGTATTACATTGATAAAAATTAGCAAAAGTACTACTTTGGTGGCCCGTGGATCTGACTCCTATTTAGATTGTACGAATGTTTGTTATCGCCTATTCTCGTATATCATCGTCGACTTAAATCGCGTTAGTCAATAACGGAATTAAATAATTCGAATAACGAGAATCGACTTGAGAATACATATGTATTTTGTATATGAAGCGAACGAAACAGAGTAGAGCAAAATGACACACAGGGAAGGTGGCTGGGAAGCCAACTCCATTTTAGACAAGAGTTACTCAATATTTATAGTCAGACAAAATAAAGCTACAGACATGCAGTAATTAATGGGATATGATGTGTACACACATATACTACGCTCATATAAAAACCGTCAAGACTGATAAGTGAATAATTGACAAGATTAAAATATGACTCAAGTAAAATGAATAGAATGGAATGTCCGAAAGCTTGAATAAGATATATGGGCTTAGCATAATAACTGACACTACACTACCCTATACAAATAAGTATTTTTCAATTGATTAGAGATATATCTTTGTATATAAACCAAACAATCTTATATGATGTATAAGTGTAGAAAGTGAATCACAATTATATTTGTTTATCTAAAGCATAGTTGATGAAAAGGGTTAGTATTGTTTACAATCTTAGTGTTAAAAACATGAATAGTAGTGTCGGAAAGTTGATTTTAGTTATTAAGAGAATATGAAGCAATATAATACTACTTTCTATGATACCATCAGTAAACTTAGACAAGCGAAAAGATGAAAGAAAAATCATGAAATAATTAAATTTAACATTATTTATAAAACTGGTTATTACCATGGTCTGGCTTTCAAAAGTCATATGTGGGCGTTGTTAAATAGTTCTCAAATAATTCTAGTAGTTCCTGTATTGCAGTGATCCATTGAATTATATTAATCCTTGTTTACTTTTGTAGTTAAGCTAACTGAAACCTAACTATTGAGTCTATTAGAAATTGATGATCACTAACTAACCTACAAACTTTTTATAGGCTTTGTGAATTAAAAGATGATGGTATCGTAGTATTTATCGATCGCTTACAATACAGCAAACATATTTAACCATGATTATGTGTTCAACAAATGGAGGCAAATGAAGTATTAATAGTGTTTTCATTTTCGAGATGTAACTTTTGTGTAATAAAACTATCAAGTTTCCACAGCTGGGTTCCGATCAGCCGAAAAAGAAACTTATTAATAACACTGGCTACAAGAATACGAAGAATCTGTAGCCCCGAAGTTGTAGATGAACAACTGGGCCTCTGAAAAGAGATACTTATCAAAAAATGGGTATCCTTCGATATTGATTGATAAGAATATGAGGCCAAAAACACAAATAATTACAGTAGAAAAGAAAATTTTATACATGAACACCGATTTCAAAGGTGACAGAGTCGCATATATCTTAAAGAGGAGAATTTCGGATTCTTTAAAAAGAACATTCTTCGCAGCAACATTTCGAATATTATTCTCCAGCCAATCACTGTTCACCAATAATCTAAAAGATAAATTATCGCATCTGATCAACTCAATGTGCATTTACCAATTGAAGTGCTCTTGTGGAGCTAGGTATATAAGTCATTCGATGCGTATTTTATCCAAAAGAATTTAAGAACATTGTCCGGTGTGGCTAAAATGAGGTGGCAACGGCTCAACAAAAAGTTCTATAATCGAACGTCTTGTGAACACAAGTCACTCAATCAAGACAGACTCTGAGTTCAAAGTCATCTACAAGGTTAGTAGAAATCTTCCAATAACAATTAGACCGTATCTTCTTTGCATTGCTGAAGCATTAGCCATACATTGGAAAAACCGGAATTGTGTGTGCAAAAGAGACTGGTACAACCTCTTCTTCTACCATGGTCTTAATGTATTAAACTTTTTCTTCCCTCTTTTTTCATACTCTTGTTCCTTTACAGCCATCTGCTTCACCTTCCATCTTCCCCGCAAATCCTCTGTCCCCCAACTGGTTTATTTTGTTTCTACAATCATTCTGATTACATTTAATTTTAATTTCAACATTTTATCTTATTATACTGAACCATCCTTTCCCAATGATAATTTCCCTATCTATTTTTTTTTATGAGTAATACTTAAGCCATTAACAATCAAACGATTATTAAACTTTCCTTGTTTAAAAAAATTTCTTTTTAATACCTTTGTTTATTTAACCTCATTGTCACCATGTATAACAGAAGTTTTATTGTCAGTATTATTATCATCCTGTTAATATAAGTATATGTATAATTGCGATTGTACAGCTTTGAAGGGGAGAACTCTTCACTGAACTAATCTTTCTTATTTAATAAAACTCCTTCAAACATTTTTACACTATAAATCCAGTTTCCCATTTTGTTTTTCAAGTAATTTATTATTTTTTGAATGGAATAATGTTCATATTGTAATGTATAAATATGTTCTTAAGAGGTTAAAATGAAGTAAACTTGTAAATTTGTATACAATTGTTAGGTGAAAACAACGAATCACTTGATAAATTAGTTGTTTATTATTTATTTAAACACATAAACATTATTACAAGGAGGCACTAAATAGATATGCGCCACATAAATCATTCTATTTATGTAAGGGCTGGGATACTACATCCTGGGTGCCAAAACAGAAGCAAGTGGTTTTCTTAGGGAGTTAATCCTTGAGGTTTTTACCTAACGATCTAATCCATAACTCAGTGGAACAAGGTTAGGAACTGAGTCTCATGATAGCCGGTGACCAACAATAGATTTATACGTTATTTATTTTCTTAGGGTCCTGGAGCTCATATGCACCATTGGTTCAGAATCAGGGTTTTCCAACTCCCCTAGGTGGATCCTCCATATCCATCAACCGAGTTAAAGCATCGGCCATTCACTTTTCATCCACTTAATTTCGTAAACAACACCTCAGCGACGAAAAGGCAATGAGTAGTTTTTCCCCTAGTAGTGGTTGTATGCACGTGGTTATATGAGAGCGTTTCGAGAAGGAGAGTTGACTCTCCTCACTCTCAGTCCTACTATCGTGATATTGTTACTTTTTAGTGTATATTAAACAAACCTTAATAGAAATGTTTATATATATATATATATCCTTTCAAATGTTTTCTATTTTATTATATCCAAATCACATCAACAAATACAATAGTTCTTCTCTTTTTGTTGTTGTATAAATCTAAGAATGAATGACAAATGTAGACTTGAATAAATGAGAAATGAATAAGAAAAGATTTAAGCAGTTTAATATTCTTACTTTGTATCATAGATTCCATGCCCTATATGTATAACCATTTATATATTGTAAATGTGTATATCATTAGAAGTATAGAAAAACAAACAAACAAACAAATATTCAATACAGTTATACACCTACCCAACTGAATATCATTCATTGATCATTTATTTACACTATGTGAAATAGCTCATACAATTCATGATTATGTTTGTTTGTTTTTGTTTTTGAAAAATAACAAAAAAAAGGTATTTGTTAAGTTGAATTATATATGTATCTATGGTGATTGTTTATTTGTTTAGAAGCACCAACATTTCCAATATCCATTCTCTTTATCCAATTCAACATTACCATTTAGATCTGCTATATGAATCGGTTTTTATTTTTTATAAAAAAATAAGACATTTGATAGTAGATATGTAAATAAGTGAAATGATGTTGATTTTATACAAGAATTGAAAATGTATATATTCACATATATACAGTATGGTTAAGGCATGAAAATAGCCAAAATACTTATGATGTTTAATTAGAACAAACATAACACTAATAATAATGGTGATATTAATTACCCAGACAACTGATTACTTGTTATGTTCGACTTGAAAGATATTTTATGACGCCAAATTTGTCTAACACATTTGTTCTTTAATTTAACTAAGGTTAAAGATGTTTTTCCTATTGATTAGATGCAATTTTATTATTAGGGATCTTTTTCTAGCCTTCAAGATCATATAAATACAACGATACACAAATGCTATCTTCTTAAACCAGTTATTTTTTAATCCCTATCGAAAGATTTATTGTTTTTTTTTGTGTATGGATAAACTAAGGTTAATAAACTGAAAGAAGAATTATCAGAAGGGGTATTGTGGAGATTTTAGAAATTTTCACTGGTTGAAATCATGAGTCAGTTGAAGCTAGACTATCATGGAAAACTTGGAAGCACTGGACGGCCGTTTCGCGGGGTACGGGATCGTGGATGCGCACTGCTGACGAGTCCCATACTAGAACGAAACGGCCGTCCAATGCATCCAGGTTTTCCATGGTGACCTAGCTTCAATTGACTCATGATTTCAGTCAGTGAAAGAAGAATTGTCCAATCTAGTGTATCTTAATCAAAGTTATTATTACTTATCACTTTGAAAGTAAAGTCACCATAGATTTCGGGAAAACAAAAATGAATAATTCATTATAATAAAATATAATTTCACAAATGTAATATTTCATTTATTAATAGTAAAAATGACCTGCACAATCAGTATTGCATGGTTTGAGAGAATTATTTATCAATGGTATTGAATGACCATGATAATATATGACAAACATATTGAAACTGATCATATTTATCAATGAATTTGAAAATTGACGTGTTGAGTTCGGTCTCATATCGGATTATCTGTATGCATTACTATTAGACTACAATAAACTATGATGACATAACTTTCCTGTATTTCCCTATGCTTTTCACAGTTTCATCACTAGCTAATATCAATAGGCTGTCAGAATTAACTAACTGATAAGAAACCTATACCAACTACTTATATAAATACATCATTCTTAAATTACTATCGTACAATCAGTCAAAGTGTGTGTGTGTGTGTGTGTGTGATTTCACTCTTAGTTGAATGAACTCGTTAGTTTATCTATCATTAAACTATATATTTATTGAAAAGAAGTGTAAAACATAAAATAACCATGAATAAAAACAATCATATTTAGTTGAGATCAATAAACTATTTTATTATTATGCATCATCTTCATAAAAATATACACCAGAAACAAATATGTAATTTGTTCATTGATAAATTTACTTTAGTATTTATGTTCATATAAATAAGCACTTATGAACAAGCACATTCCAATGATAATAATAATAATAATAATAATAATAATAATAATAATAATAATAATAGTGGTAATAATCAGTTTACATAAAGACAAACAGCGACGACAACAACAACAACAAAAAAGAAGAGAAAACTGTTAACATACATCATTGAGAAGTATCTTTTAGATTACACAACAACATTGTTGTTGATGATTTCTATCAATTCGACTTAAGATCAATGACAAATTTATTATTATTATTTCATCTCATAGTTTATTTGTGTAATATAATTAAGATTAGAATGTAGATAATGTGATTTATGAGATCTATTTTAAATATTTAATTTTGTAATTTTAATAGTTGAGATCATGAGTCAATTGAAGCTAGATCATCATGGAAAACCTGGAAGCACTTGACGGCCATTTCGTCCTATTGTAGGACTCCTCATTGGTGTACACCCACGATCCCGTTTCGCGAGACTCGAGCCCAGAACCTATCGGTCTCACGGGCGAACGTTTAACCTCTAGACCACTGAGCTGGCCGGTATCCAACGGTGTTAATGTCTAACTTTAACCAGTACAATAAATTGAGCGACACATCCACCATTGTTCTCAGTGAGTTACTATCTCACAACAGACCAGGTTGAACTCCACTGGTCATTGCTTCTCACTAGAAGTCCGTGAAATACCTCTTTAATTGACTCATGATCTCAACTATTGGGGTTGCTATAATATCCACTAAACCCCTTCTGATAATAATGAACATATGCTCACTAGCGACTGGCTTCAAGACGTATTTGCCGAAGTTATAGTGAGAAGCAATGTACTGAACAGTTCAACCTTTTTTTTAAAAAATTAGTTCGAAATGTCACTTTGATGACTTGAACATTATGGCATGTTCATCTCCTTAAACACTAGATGCTTCTATAGATATGTCCTTTTGGTAAAACCTGATATTTGATAAGGGTAAAGCATAAAGATGACATTTATAAAATTTAATCGTTTTACACAATGGAAACGTTACCATCTAATAATCCAAGTGAATATAGATCATTCAATCAGTTCCATAAATAAATCTGTCTCACTAAGTTTCTCATTATTTTCATCTCAAAGTGATAAATAAAATTAATAGTGGAAGGTTTTTTTATTTGATATTGACTGATTACTTAACTAACTGAGCAACTAACAACCCCATATCAAGTGAATAATAAAAAAATCTATCGAGTATTGATTTATTGTTTTGAATATACTAAACTTTTCATAGTTTTGTTTTAGTGTCAAAATGCAGATTAACCTAATTAACTTTAGTGAACTGAATGTTATCTCAAGATTTCCGTATTGTAACATGTAACTGAAAGCTGCTAGTTCATTATAAATGAATTCGATTATTGGATTGCACTACTTACATACTTTTGTTTTCAAAACATTACAATCATTTAGCTAAATGATCAACAAAACGACACAAAATTAAATCAGAAGGGGTTTCGCGGATATTATAGTAATTTTAGTAGATGAGATCATGAGTCAGTTGAAGCTAGACCATCGTGGGAAACCTGGAAGCACTGGATGGCCATTTCGTTCTACTATGAGACTCCTCATCAGTACGCATTCACGATCCCGCCCTGAGAGATTCGAACCCAGAACCTATCAGTTACAATTGACTCATGATCTCATCCATTAAAATTACTATAATATCCATAATCAACCTGTGCTCACTAGTGAATGGCTTCAAGAGGTATTTTCCGGAGTTCTAGTGAGAAGCAATGACCAGTGGAGTTCAACCAGGTCTGTTGTGAGATAGTAACTCACTGAAAAAAAAGGTGGATGTGTCGCTCAATTTATTGTACTGGTTAAAGTTAGACATTACCATCGTTGGATACCGGCCAGCTCAGTGGTCTAGAGGTTAAACGTTCGTCCGCGAGACGGGATCGTGGATGTACACTGCTGATGAGTCGCATAATAGGACGAAACGGCCGTCAAGTGCTTCCAGGTTTTCCATGATGGTCTAGCTTCAATTGACTCATGATCTCAACTATTAAAATAATATAGAAAAGTCCAATCGAATCAGCCTAGACACAATATTGTAGCAAGAATGTTTACAGAAGGGATTTTGTTGAATACACAAAGTATCAATGTATACTTTATATTAATTATTATGGTTATAATTATTATATTTTAATTTTCAATAGGCTTTTTTATTTACATTACTCAACTGTTTATTGTTATTTCTTTCGATTTCATTGTTTGCGCAAATGTAGATATGTATAATTAACAAAGAGTGTTACATTAAGTATACAAGAAAAAGGATACGTTCATTTTCTTTTGAATTATTTATACTTTTAACGACTTCTACTACAACTTCATCAAATAACTAAAACAAAAGATTGATTAGAAGGTGAAATTACATATAAACAATAATGAAAATGTAATATTATTATCAAAAGGGGTTTATGTAAATATTATAATAACTTTTAATATCTCATAGGTTTGAAAGGTCCTGGGTTCGAATTTCATGAGACGGGATCGTGAATACTCACTGCTGAGGAGTCTCATACTAAAACAAAACGGCCATCTAGTGCTTTCAGGTTTTCTATAGTGGTTTCGCTTCAACTGACTTATGATCTTAACTATTAAAATTACTATAATATTATTATTGAATTAAATTACTACAACACATCAAAAATATTATTACTGAATCTATTAGTAAGTCGGTGAACGTATTAACGAAAATAGTAAACAAGAAAATTGTTGTTTTTTTTTCGTTTTATATTCATGTAATAATCGATTCCACTGAAATCATTTGAAGTTATGAAATATGAAAATATATATTTAGCATATCTACCACTAAAGTATAAGCTTTTGAAAGAATTAATAGTATGGATATAAGATTAAAAAAATATATCAGATGAATAGAAGGCTACGTGATTCTTCTAGCATTCCTTTATTAAAAGGCATAGTTGTTATTATAATTAAGCAGAATCTTCAATTGAACCACGTCAAACTAAATTTTCTATAGTTTACATAAGCATAGTAACAGATAGTGGTTTACTATGTCTTATACTTTAAAATAGTTAATTAATAATTTACATATTTGACAAAATATTTCAACCAGTAAAATTAGTCGAAATATAATGATATAAAGCACTCAATCAATCATTTACCTTTTTTATTTGGAAATCTGTTTTGGCACTAGTTTCAACAAAGAATAAATTTTCTTTTTCGGCTTTCTTAGCTGCTTCTTCAGTCGTTACAACTCTGTAAAAAAAACGAAGCAAATTTATGCAAGTAAAATTCTGTATTTCAGATATGATTTTGTCATTGTTTAACTTTCCATGGATCTGGTACATACCAATATATATTTTGATGGAGTTTAGTTCTCTGAACTGGATGGTTCAGATTTTAGTCTAAGCGTTTGAAGTGAAGTAACTTATCATCTTGACTACTTCACTCATCCTGAAATCCACATCAGTCCTGTGAGATGAGTAGCTCACATAGTCTCAGCGTGAACAAAGTAAGATAATTTTGATGTTCACAAATTTTTCAACGTGTAATTCAAAAAATATATTCTTCTGACTATACGAATGTAGGGATTTTGGACACCAGTCTATTTTATTTTCTCTTACACCTGAAGCAAACATACAAGACATGCATAGCCTGTTAGAACTTGATCAGCAGTACATCCCAAGCATGATGAAATATTCAAGTGAGCAATATTGAAAAAAGGAGGATACTTTTAGTTAGAGATGGTTGATATGGCCTCGAATCTTCAGTGAGTCCGTTGATATGATTTACACACCTTAAACCGCATTCTGTCCAGAGTTGCAATGACAGCTACTTAATAAATAAGCGTGGCCAAACCAAGATACCTTTACAAATATAAAGTCAATAACTTCTGAAACGAGTAGTGTCAAAAGGTGCGGATCAAGTGACTTAGGTCTTTACGCTGGTCATGATTAATGTTTAAAGATCTCAGGTGATATGGGTAGAGCGTCACAGAGTAATTAATTCTCTGGTTTATTATGCTTAAATTTTAATATTATCACGTAATGCTTGTTTCTCATTTTCATTACTTGTTTTCGATTTATATTTTCTATGTTTGATTTGTACTATCATTGTCAACAATATTATTTCTACTGATTGAGCCGATACAAAGTGAGGCTGTTTAGTTTGATTAAAATTAATGCCATACTTTAAACAATTTATATCATACTGAATGAATAAACAATAATTCAGTCATAAAAACACTATTATTTAGTCACTACCTTAGTTTGTAGAAGTATGAAACTTTTCCCTAAGGTTGTCATTAAAACGATTCTCTAGATAATCAAGAGCAAGGAAACGATTAAGTACATTTGAACATCGCCTGGTGCATGCTAGTTAAATTGCTGAATTCGGATTATAATTGAAAAAAATGTGTTGCTCATTGTCATCAAACACAGACAATATAAAATTCATTATCATTTTTGGTCTATTCTAATATCAAGAATGTTAAGTCAGGCTAAGGTTATATCACAATATGACATGAGTTGATGATGTAAACTGTTAAGTCTGAACCTTAAAGCTTAAACGTTTTACGCGCACTTCAAGTCCTGAAACTCTAGGATTTGATTCTCTGTGTGGAGAATTCGCTGATTACTGATTAGTAGTTACAAACTGCAACGAAACAGCTATCTGTTAGACTGATGTTCAGTGGTTCTAATACTAATAAGAATTACACTTCACATTATATTGATATAATGGAAAGCCGAGTAGGTATGAAACTTTATATAATTCCATAAAATAGGTGTTATGTTTCAGATATAAAGTCACACACGTACAGAATTTTATCTGGATCAATTATTTACCACGTGAGTATGAAGTTACTTTTAGATCTTATAATTAGTGTTTTAATTTTGGTATCTTAAGACTCACCCTGATTCCATTCAAAAAGCTGGTGACTTTTAAATACATAAGTAGGTTTAACGATTTTACGGTTTATTTAAAGTATGATGATTTACTGGTAAAGAAGAAGGAAGTTTCTAGAGTTATGTGTTCGCGATATATGTCGACAAAATATAAATCTTAACAAAAAATAATGGGTTCGGTACACTATAGGAATTTAAATACGTTTCGCATCCGCAAAATATTAATTGTAATAGTAGTCAGAGATGGATGGTGGTTAATAGTGGAATCCATAACACCAATTTCGTCCTATTTTGAACGCGGCAGTTGAGCGCACCTGAATCCTAGAGTTGATGAGCACCTCAGGAATTATTATCGTTATTATTATTATCCTTATTATTATTATTATATGTACTATACACTAACTCGGGATATTATTTACTTAATTTAAGAATCATTTGTATAATTTGTTGCCGATATACTTTATCATCTGATAAATAAATAGACACATCATTTGATTAACACAGTAGTTAATAAAATCTCACTATAGAGACTTGTCTCTACCTTCCTTACTGAGCTTCATTAAACGTTGCTAGTTTAAGCTTAAATTGCAAACGTTTACAATGAGTCATATTTTTTATACAATTCCGGCCTAATCAATATATCATTATCATTGTCGGATCGTGATATTTATCTCATTGAAGCTTTATAGATAGGTGACTCGACTTGTTTTGGAACCCATCTGTAATAATTCTGAATGATATCATTCTAATCTGATAGTCTCGATGGAAGAGATGGGATAAATTAAATATTCAGATTTTAAACATTTATCAGTTAGATAAACATTTATTCATGTCCTTCTTGGTAATGAAGCATGATGCCTTATACCAGAGCAATTTATATAAAATAACAACGCGTACAAAGTTATTTTACATGAAAAGGATATATTAAGTGTATGACTCAAAGTGAAAAAGTCGTTGAAAATTACAAATATTACCAATTATTCCTAACAAATTTCGTCAATAAATATCTCATAGAATCGATCCTAGTTACTCAATGAAACATTAAAACAATTTTGATTTAAATTAACGTAGCTTAGCGTCATAAATACATAAAGACACTTAAATTTATGTCATTATTATCCTCATAAAAGCAAGTAATTCTATCCGACTTCCCAAACTATTCATTTGAGAGTGGTTCATGGTAAATTACAATTAAACGTCCCGATATATGTAAAATGTGAGGTTTCGTAAAATTTAGGATAACCGTTAACGAGATCAAAACAAAGAACTTGTAATTTGTATAACAGATGATACTTTTTCATAAGATTTGAACTCTACACCCAGGAATAAATCACCCAAATTAACAACATAATGGATTTTCTTACATTAACAGTCAATGAGTCTGAAATATTGTGTACCACTTTTGGTATGGTGTGTGTCAGAGTTGCAAGATTAGTCTATTTAATTTATCTTTGAGCCATCAAAATTTTCGAGTATATATGTATATATAATTCATGTTGGCTACATTTAAAAATCTGGAAAACCAATATTAACAGAAATATCATTGAAACTGTAAGAAACTGGATCATATTACATTAATGGATAGAAACTCCAGACATATGTGTTTACTACTTGTGTAAGTATAGGTATGTGTAATTCGGATCTTATTTCGTAGACATTATTTAAGCAGTGATCAGTTAAACTCAAGCGTATCGACAGGGAGATAGATAACAATAATATAATCTAATCACAAGCGCACTGAAGTGGAAAAAATCAGCTATTGGGTTTTCATCCAATTATATAAATTGATCGTGAATTCAGACTTTCTTTAAGTGAAAATTTACTCCATTCGGGATGCTGTATGTGTAGATGGCTAAAGCGTGTGTTGCATATCAACAGCCAGCAATTTCCATGACGTATAATTATGGTTGAAAACTGAGTTATTTAAAAGGAAGTTAAAAGCAAGGGAGTCAAGTTATATAAACATTAAAGGATTTTGTTTGTTTTCTTCCTGAAGACTTGTAAGCTAGAGCCTCTGAAAAACCCATAATCTTTGATTGCAGAACTCAGGTAACATTTTTTCGTGTTGGTTTCAGTGAATTAACTAGTATGTATTCTTAATCCGCATCTGGGTATTAATCCAAAATTTTCAAATAAAACTTTGTACCCTTTATCTTTACTAGCTTTATTTCTAAAATAACTCTGAAAACCGTTTTCTCTGCCATCGCCAGCTTTTGCAAATTGTATTCGCGTGCTTTCGTACTAGATCTTGCGTTTATTGTAGTCAAGTGGGTGAGGAGTATAGACTAATTCTAGCTAATGACACAACTGTTTGCGATTACTTCTTATTCGATGATGAAAAGTAGGTTTGGGAGACAAGACTTTCTTCAATAAAACAAATTATAACTAAGTATATAAACCGCAAAATGTCTCTTGTTTAGCATTATTAATAACCTACAAATGTTTTATGATGTTTTTCCGGCAAAGTTGTAATGTAGGATGATAATAAGTTCGATCGAACACAATTTACAGACATGTGGGTCATAACTTACCGTTTATCTTCTAGATCAACTTTGTTGCCGACGAGAAAAACCAATGTTTTTGATGGACGTTCAGTGCGAATTTCTGCGATCCATTTATCAGCTCTGACAAATGATTCACGACCTTACACACCAGGACAAACGGTAATAATTAAATTAGCATTAATTTCTGAGACGTGAACAAATTTATTATTAAATGACATTTTTGTACATGTTTTGGTATTTATTGTATATGGCCGAACTTAACAAGAAAGAAAGATATCTGTATGGAAAACCATATGTCACTGATTTATTTCTCAAGCCGAAAAAGAAGGCGTTTTCTGAATTTGGCTCGAGATTGGATTCTGTTGATCGTCACCATAAAGTTGGAGTTTTAATAATTTATTTTCAAATCGATAGGATAACAGTAAAAGAAGCCATAAATTTTAGGACATTATGGAAGAAAGACAGTCTGTTTAACGGCATAAAACCAAAACGTCATGCAGTTTCAATTTTTTGTCTTCTAACTCCAACAAAGTAATAGGCCGTCTAACATAAGGGTGAAAGAATTACTTGCCAGTATAGCAGCGGATGAACGTTTGGTTCGAATAATTTTGTGCAGTGATAACTACGACTTCACTGGCAACAGTTGAAATAATGGTAAAATGAACAAGTTTTGAACTAAATGATACAATTAACAGCATAAGTATCCAGATTTGCATGATAGACTACAAGTAACACACATCAAACATTACTTTTGTATTGAATTCGGCTTCTTGAAGTCATTTCTGAGACATTACCAGAACAGTGATCCTTAGAACAAGAATTACAAGGCATGAACAAAAGTTATAGCTTCAAAATCTAGACCCCCAATCTATAATTAACCTTGAGCAACAACAAAACCGCTTAAGGCACTACTTTTTTAATTTTACTTAAAAGCTTCATAATTGTATTTGAAATAACGAATGATAGATAAAACGAGCTATCTCATTCCAATATATGCAATCATAAGAACGAGGCATCAATAAAAGTCTAACGCTCCAAGCACGTAATTGTAATTTGAAAGCATTTAATTTTCTCTGTGGGTATATTTCTATTGAAGATGCAGCTACATAATAAAGCTATCAGACTTATTTGATTTCATCAAAAGTCACTTACTTGTGACGTCATAGACGACGATTGCCACAGATGAATCCTTTATATAGCTAGGAATGAGGCTGCTAAACCTTTATGTGGTATTAAAGTTGAAATTTTTGAGATACCTTTCCTGACCAGCTGTATCCCACAACTGCAAACGTATCTGGGAAATGAAAGTCAGATAAAAAATAACACACCTTCTTACTGATTTTTCGTTGAAACAAAGAGTTTTTGAAACAAAGTCAATGCCTATTGTAGCCTGCAACATTACAAACGCATGTAATAAGCTCAACAAACATGATAAGCTGGATCGAATGTATCGTGCATGAAACGTAGTATGATTGATGTTTTTCCAGCTACTAATTCAAATTATTTTTATAATAATCACCTCCATGTTCTCCAAGGAAAACACACTTGGACTTTATAATCGAATACTCAGAATCAACTGCTCCCTTCATATCACGAAAACTGATCAAACTAACTAAAAGTCCGCAGAAAAGTGTATTGGTTAAATGGTTCAAGACGAGATAGAAGAAGCGTCCGTTTAAACGACTTCCGTATGTAATAAAAACAGATCATCAAATCCATCAGATAAAAATCTATGCAGGTTTAACGATAAAAAAGAAAAAGCATCAATCAATCATAGTGCGATACTTTCTTTAGTCCTTGACAGTTTGTAAGGTTTTCTCAAATGGTTGAGGTCGGTATAATAGAAGCTTTCGCTTAACGGGTTTACGTGTCTAGTAGCAGTGAATGACTAGTATCTCAGGGCAGGAACCTAGTTATATCAAGGGTAATAGAGGAAAAAGAAACTGGTACGTCATAATAACATATTATTGTTAGTCCTTAAGAATAGGTCAGGTTTCCTCTTAAAAGCCTCCTGGAAAGTCGCTTGGACTAGCTCATCCGGCAGTAAATTCGAGTATTCTTTAACTCTTAAGGAACGGAAGTTGGGTCTACAGTCCGTTCTGTTGTGTTTAGTCTCTATTTCCTGGGTGTTTACCCTAGGTTCATGTTGGAGCTAAACTTAAATAGATGTCTAAGGAGATGTCCAGATGTGTTAAGGATACTGTATGCCAAAAGAAGGTCACCTCTAATGAGTAAAGCTTTAGTGATTGGAGGCTCTCTCCATGAGGTTTGAATATGAATCCCCGAACTGATTTCGTAACCCGCCTTTGGATACGCACTAGTGTCCTAATCCCTTATTAGGGAGGGCGGAAATAGTGTTTCCGCAAGACTTCAAATTGTGGGATGACAGCGCTCCTAAATATTTTTCGACCTAGAATACTTCTAGTGAAGAGTTTCCTAAGTTGTAACTGTAGTCTTCTACATGTCTCAGATGGGCTACTTTACACTCTAGCGGTAAATAAATCCCCAAAATAAATAGCTCTGTAAGTTTTCGACATTGGATGCTGACCATATGTTTTAGTGGACTCATCTAGCTGAAGGCGTTCGGTCAGGCATCCGCACCAGATCACGTGTGGTAACGCCGTACTCAACATCTACCGCAATCGCTAGCCAGATTAGATCAGAGAATTCCGATATATTGGTAATCGCCAAATACACTCTTCCGATCTCCTCGACTCTGTCTTTTGATTTCTCTGGGTGGGGAACGAAATATATTAGAAGGTGTTACTGGTAAAAGCGTTGTCAAACACTGAATACCTGTCACATCATCAACACTTTGAAGTGTTAAATGTAAGTCCATTGTCATCTGCCCCACTTTGGAGTCGAGTCCTGAAGTATTAAATTATTTTCTCGGTTGTGTCTCTCTCTTCAAGTTTTCAAGTCATCAGCAAAAATTAATAAGTTAGACGATACCTGTTGTAGAAGAATATTCTCAAGACTACTCAGTATATCTGAAGGAATCAAGTGATATTCACTTTTCGTACAAATATTCATGTATATTAGAGTAAAGCCTAATGACTATCTAATTGAAAACAACTGTTCGCTTATATGTGTTGTTCTAATATTCACTTTTATAGACTATATTCATTTATCATGCATACTGTGAAACAGTAAATGCTATAACTTGTATATCATGCCTGTAAAAATGGCGTGTACCTGCTCTTGTAGAAATATTATATTAAATTATATTATACACGTTATCTTGGAATATACTTATCTTATTTGGAATTATTGACTACTTTTTATAATTATTTGATCAACGATGACTTTTCCCACTCTTAACAACAAAGCTAAACTGGTATCTTAATAGTCTTCCAAGATAAACGGGGCTGATATAAAGTGGTTGTTAGCATACTTGCAACTCACCGATGTCCAGTTTGTATTCTGTGGATTAGTCGTTCACCTTGCTGCGTACAAGGCCGAGCGTAAGGAGCTAAAGGTTGGAGTTGTACGTATTGGATGAGAGATGCTCAGCATGACTACAGAACTTCGCTAATAATGTGGTACAAGCTGGCTAGAAACAGACTATGACCAGCATGTATATAAGGGTCATGATCGACAGTCGTATTTCTAAAAGTACGGTGGTTTCGTAAGTGATTTTTAACGAGCCCTTGCAATGCCAAATGACGTCGAAATGAGCTTGTGATCAGCCTGAGGTCTGTAACAGAGTCACAGTTTCAACTGCCGTGTGTGAACTTTGGGAGACATTTGCTGTCATGATTACTGGGCGATTAATCTCAACAGTTAACCAAAGTGTGGTGATTAGGGCTCTGTGAGTCCTCAGAATAGTATGAACGGTCGGCCATGATCTGATTATTGTACTTGCAAAGTGCTTCCTGAGCTGAATGAAACTAAGTTATGTTAGTTTTTGAGAGCAGGGTCAAGTGAGGAAAGAAACGGGGTAGAGTAGGCTCTGTGTTATGGGTAACATAGTGTTATTTTTGAGAAATCAAACTAATAAGTCTGTTTTCAAAGTAGTTTGTTACTTCCTTCTTGTTACTCTCTTCAGGTGTTACTTGGTGAAGAATAAACACACACCTGTTGATATGCTACTGATAAGTTTCAATGATAAATTACGCATGAGATGAGATGCGCCAAAGTACAAGGATCTGTAGCAGTTAATAAATCCCCAACATGTTCATATGAAAGTGTATATATGTTTATTTTTTCCGAAAAAGAGATTTGAAAAAATTCATTAAGTGAAAATTGCATGTGAACAAAACGTCAATTTGGTTATTAAGGAAGTAATAACGGAGATTACTCTTAGTGTTACTGCACTTTTATTTACATAAATTGCTTAGCCCTACAGTTTCTAGGAGGAATATAATGAAAATCGTACTTTGCCACTACTAAGAATGCTCTCTTACTACCCATTTATAGATCTCTTGCTGCAAGCCGTTTAATGTTTCTGACAACCAAAAGTGAATTTGGACACATGAAACCCCATCGCCTAGAAAATGGTTGAAACTCTATTTTCCGACACGTTCGAAAAAATTAGATATTTTGAGGACCACCTCAAACATATGGTGTCCGGTCTATTCAGAACTGAAATTACGAAGCTCCATCAAAACATTCGGCCACTGTTTGGGACTTCGGAATGGGAAGTGATTTTTGGACTTGTCGCGATTATCCTTGCTTTGTGTACTTGTTGCATCAAAAAGCATTCCTGGTCTACTTCAACTAAAAGTACTTTGGTTAATGTTTGAAATTTTTGCTTAACTTTGTTCTCTGGTGCCTGTTTTACTTATTGTCTGACACTCGTGTTCATATTGTGATCATATTGTGTTTTAAACCTTTTTAATCAAATTACAATGGTTAGTAAGATTTCTAAATGTGGACAACCAAACTGTTTGTTCCCCGTTGAGGAAGGAATGCAGTGTGATGAATGTAAAAAGTCGTTCCATAAGATGTGTACACGTCTAAGTCCTACGGGATACAAAATACGCTCGAAGCCTAACTCGCATTGGCTTTGTATGTTTTGCTGTACAAATAAGAAGTTACTAATTCAGGGGGCTATGAGCCTATTGGCTTTGGCCTGTAAGAAAACCGATGGCGGATGCGCTGATAGCACTAGCACTGACGGTGTGGAATGTGTCAGTGTAGTGTGTGCTGCTACCGGACCCGCTAAACACCCGACTGTGATTGACGGGAAAGTGAAATCTCTGTTAGCATTAACGAGGAATGAAGTGCCGCTTGATACATTTCTAGTGGAAAATGAAGACCCGGATAAATTGTCACCGTTCCAAATACTCTCGGTGTGGCTGTCCTGAGTGATGGTAAATGGACTTTAGTACGGAGAGAACGAAATGAGAAGAAAAAAGCTGTACTCAAGTGATTGTGAGAGACGGTGTCAGAAACAAAATCTCCACTGCGTGTCAAGACAGATCTCTTTGAGAGATCAGTCATTTTTTCATAAGTTAAGAGAATCTTCCGATAAGGAACCAAAGGCTGGATTTGAACATGATCTCAGTCATATTAAGTCCTTAATAAGCAAACTACTCCCAGATGCAGTTACAGGAGTTAGTAATTGTAAGCTTTATAGAGTAGGACAAAAAGTGGATTTTGAAAGTCATCAGAAAAACCGCCTTTTGAAGGTTACATTTCCTACGGTTGGAGGAAAGAATCTGATTCCAGGTAACTCACGTTAACTGATTGGATTCGGAATGTATATCCGTGAGGATCTCAGCCTAGCTGATCGTATTAAGAGACGAGCTGCAGAAGTGTAAATAAATGAGCGTCGCCAAAACGGTGAAAGAAACCTCGTTCTTAAGGGTTCACAAATTGTAAAAGTTCGGAGCAAAACGATCCCAAACCACTCTGGGTGGTAAGGGAAAGTTCTCCACAGACTTAAGGGTGCGCTACACGAGTGCCCGCAACCTACTAAATAAAGTGGCGGAGCCTAGGTCAATGGTGGATAAAGGAAAACCGGACGTTATTGCTACCTCGGAAACTTGGTTAACGTCAGAAGTACTAGAAAATGAAATTCATTTGACCGGTTTTTTAACCCATAGGGCTGATAGAATAAACCGTAAGGGGGCTGGGTTATCTTGTACACAAAAAGTACCCTAACCACAAGATTAGCTGAGGCAGTGGCACATGTTTCAGGGACATATGAACTGGTGCGATATAAGCTGAAATGTAGACGGCATGATATTGAATTAGTTGTAGTAGATCGCAGTCCAGAAAGTGTAGCAGATGATTTTGTCCTAAGTAAACTTAAGTCCTGGTGTAACAACGGTAAAAGCCTTGTAGTAGGCGACTTTAATGCGCCGTATATAAACTAGGTTGACTCAGAACTAGGGTAATCGAAAACGTCGTTCGATTGCAAACTATTAGAAACCTCGATTGGATTAGCTTTATTTCAACACATTAGAAACTCCACAAGATATGACTTAATAAACTCTTCTTCTCTTCTAGATTTAGTCCTCACACACAGTGATGACGTTGGTCATATGACTTTTCTCCTACCACTAGGGAGAAGTGACCATGCAGTCATCTTTTTCAAGTTCATGGTTGAGACTGCCTGTTAAACAGTTGCGCCGGCCCGTCC